TCCACATTATCATTCCGGTACCTCTGTCACCACCTGGAGATTCATACAAGTTTACTTTTGTCAATGCCACGTGTAGAGATGATCATTTCAATATTGAAGGCCATGATCGAGAGATCGACCTTGCCATCGCCTATTGGCTTGTCTTTTTAAGATACTATGACAGAGCTATGCAATACGTTTCCTTGTACACGAGCATTTCTTTCCAACTGACTGAGCTTGAATTAGTTATTATGCGAAATATCCTTGAAATCAACTACCGTGATCTTGAATACCTTGTGATAAAAGCCTGGGTAAACCATCTTCTTGATGAACATAACATCTTTTTCAAAGGCTTTTTGGATGAAACCAATAGGGTTGAAAAGATCACCGACATTGCAAGCTTGATTTCCGTTATCCCATTCAAGTATAAAAGGGTGCTTTTCTCTTTTCTTCCCAACATCGGTGAAGATAAATATCTTTGGGCATATTCTAACAAGTTAAAAATCGATTCTAGTGACGGAAAGTCGTCAAAAATACAACCAAATATCACTGACCTTAAAAAGGCTATCCAAGATGCTGACTATAAACTGTCTCAAGATACTAACTATAAACTGTCTCAAGATACTTTTCCGAGATTAGAGCTGCCGATCTGTCCGAGTGACTTTAGATATTTTCGCTTCCGCAGTGGTACCTCTTTTCTATACGATCTAGCTGGATCATCTAAAAATTTACCTGATTTTACGAACAGATTGAATTCTCATTATCTCAATTCTATAAGATTTTATCTTTCTATGGAAAAAAATACTCCCGAATACAAAATTGTTTCCTTATTTCACGTCATTTTCGTGGTTTTCAATAACTTTTTAGATAAAGAAAAGCTCTCAACCTTCATTTATGACTTGAAAAAAAAAAAGTTCCCTCACGAGATGCTCGATATTTATGAAAAACACAACGGATTCCAGTCACCCTCTTCTGATGAATCAGCTGAAATTGTTAAAACGCTTCCAAAACCTCCTGCCGATTATGAAAATCTCTTAAGCATAACGATGAAAAGAAAAGCGCTTTCATCGGATCTGTTCAAGGCAAATGCAAGCTTTACATTGTTTAGTGATGCTGCTTCCCTTGAAGAGAAATTGAAATCAATAGTGTCCACTGATGAGCTTCTTTATGGGTTTCCCCTGGGAGCCTTAAAAGACCCCAGGCTTCTCGCCCAAATACTTCTTTGCGGGTCTGTTGAGGAACTGGGGGCTTTTTTCACTGTCAGTGCTGAAAAGGTCCCAGAGCTTCTTGATCTTTTGTGGTCCCATTTCATTACATTCTTTTATTGCAAGTCTCCTCGTTTTAAAAAAAGTCCCTTTTGCCAGGCCCGGGTCGAGAAAAATGAAGCTTTTACTGAAAATATGCACGCAAGTGGGTTTTTAAACATTTTTAAGAGGAAAAAAATACCTACTGGTCCATTACCGGTCATTGTGCAAGACAAAGTTTTCATTTTGATCGAGTTTTTCACGGGATTTCCCTTGTATGAAGAACAAAAGACCATCATATCAAAAATTTTAAACGAAACGATGCATGGAAACTCGTATGTCGTGCAACAAGGAATGGCTGGCGGAAAGACTACGCGTTTCGGTCCCGCTGCCGCAATCTTGGCAACGTCGATTTTGAGGAAACTGCCGATCTTCGTCTTTCCCAATTCCATCCTCAACCAGAACATTTTGCAACTGCGGCAATGGCTTTTTGACTTTTTCGGGAAAGGAGTTTTCGAGTTCAAAGCAGAACGATCGCTTTATGGGTACAGCGAGTCGTATTTGCGCCATCTTTACTATCGCCTTACAATGGCGCATCATCGTGGAGATGCATTCGTGTCTTCGATAAACAGCATCCAATGTCTGTTGAATGCTATCAAGGAACTGTATTTGCAAAACACGGACGCGTCAAAAAGGTCTTTTGTTTGGGTTGTGAGGATCTTGTATTTCATCAAGTACTACTCGATATTTGTTGGCGACGAAGTGGATGAAATCATAGATCTTTCCATTCTGTACAACTTTGACA